CCTAAGTTCAATTAATTTTTAACAATTACTTCTAATTTTGGATATGTCGGAAATAGATCTTGGCGATCGACAGACTGCTTGCAAGCGAGTCTACAAAATTCATTCTATTTGAAGTGAAAAATAGTTCAACCTCAATTCCAAATGAAATGCATATAAATTCAAACCAAACTATTACGGGTCATGAAATGGTGGGTTTCGGACTTGACATTGACGATGCGACCCAATGTGTAAATTCGGATATCTTGTCGTGGGTGCCAAACCTGTCTATTTAGTTCGACATCAGTTTTGTTTGGTTATGGTGGGGCAGGTAAGATGCTTCTTGGTTAAGGAATCAACAGGGATAGAGAGTTCCATTCTCTTCTCCAGCTAAAAAGTCAAAAATCAGCATCCGAAATCTGGTGTGGCCCACACACAGAATAGGCGGTGGTGGGGGTCCAGTTAAGGACTACTAATGGGTTGAATTGAAAGTTAAAAATTATCAAATCAATGTTTATGATTTTAGAGAAATTCTAAGGTTCCTAAAAATAAATTTTGGTATCGGACCATCAATTACTATTTTTATGGATAAAATTACAATTGTTCAAGTGAATGTCACGATCTCCCACACATCCATTATCGATCATGAAAATTTCAGTATGATCTTAATCTTTCATGATTGATCATCCCCTTTAAAATTGTAACTTATACCTCAAAAAAGTTATACATTGCCTTTAAAAAATTATAATTTTTGATATGGTACCACCGTCGGTACCGTCTTTCTCATGATTTTAAGTCCATTAACTTTTTAATTTTTGGGGGAATGACATTTTATAATTTAAAATATTTTTAAATTATCATTTTATATTATTAAAAATTAAAATTCTTGTCTCGCATCTTCAATAGAATGAAAAGGTAAACAATGTGGTTCAAAATTAAATGTTTGTTTCTTTGTTAGCCTGTTGTTGTTGTGGTGGTGGTGGTGGTGGTGACTGTGTGGCGTCAATATGTGGTGATGGTGCCGATGGTGGTGATATAGTTTGATCATTTATATCAAAACTTGGAGATTTAATTCAATCCATTATAATTCAACTCGTTTTAACCTATTTCTTAGTTTAAAAAGAGTTTGAATTGAATGACAGTTAGTTGAGAGGTCCACAACCCTACCAATTAACTTACTCGGAACCACCAGTGACAATTCACCAATTACAGAGTTCAGAACTTAAAGGCTAAGAATTCAACGGCTAAAACAAGTCATTTTCTAATTTATTGTTATTTTCATATCAGGTTTGAAAATATCAGGCTATGACTATGGCGGTGGTTGATAATCCAATTAAGTATTTAAAATTAAAGACATTGCACACTTTTTTAATTAAGTGCGTTTACCAAACAAATAACAATTAGTAAGTGTAATTAGGGTGTCAACCGTGTCCCTTTCAGTCGTGTTATTTTCGTGTTAGGTCACTTTCAGTACATGTCAGATTCGTATCAATAAAAAATTATTTAATTTCACAACAACTCATTTTATACTTTTTCAAAAATTAGAATTTTTTTTTGTTTATCTACAATACTCGTTAAATATTTATTTTTTATCTACAATACTCGTTAATCGTATTATTCTTGTCGAACCTTAATTTGACTCATTTATTACTCGTGTCAACTAATTGTATTATTTTCGAGTTTTGTATCGGGTAGGGTTAGGTTCATATTAATAGATAAAATTGACACCCCTAAGTGTAATATGGTAATTGAGGGGGTAATGTAAAAATCTGATAGTTGAGGGAAAAAAATGAAAAAAGGTGATAGTTTAGTGGATATAAGTGTAATTTACCCAACAAATAATTAGTAAACTATTTACCCATTCTATAGATAATATAAAAATACCGCAGTGCGACCAAATTTTTTTAACCAAAAACATTTGCCAGCATAGCTTGCACATTGATTTCTCCTCTCTTTCTTTCTTTCTTTTTTTTTTTTTTTGTTGCCGGTCTTTTTAAAGATAAAAGAATTCTATTAGCAAAGCTCTATATATTTTACTAAAATCTAAAATAAAATAAAATATTTTATTATCACTCGTGCTAAAAGATAATATGTCAGATACATTTTTTCAACCAGCCTTCCTCTCTATCTAACTCTTGTGATTTTCTCCTAATTTACATCATCGCATGATTTTATTCACGATTTATTTGTAGATTTCTTACACAAATTCATATATACGTTCTCCTTAGTCTATTTTTTGGATACAATATGAGGTTTTGGATCGTAAATTCTTATGATTTATCTTTTTATTTGTTTGTAGCCAACATTATGCTTCAAAGAGAAAATCGACAATAATTTTGGCNATACAATATGAGGTTTTGGATCGTAAATTCTTATGATTTATCTTTTTATTTGTTTGTAGCCAACATTATGCTTCAAAGAGAAAATCGACATTAATTTTGGCCTTTCTAAAAGAGAGCGATGACATTATTTTGTTGGTGGTTGATGGGATATTTCTCGAACGCAACAAATGACGACACGTGTACTCGACACCGATGAAACATCTCTACTATGGTCCTGACACGTGTCATCGACATCCTTAGCCCCCTCCTGTCGAGGGAATAATTCCCGGGGCCGAGGGACTCCCAGGCGGCATGGATGACACATATC